AACAGGATCCCATTATCCCTGGGATAATCCCATTATCCCTGGGCTGTGCCCAGTGTCTGCCCCCGTTATGGGGAGCCACCATCACACCCCGAGGGAGCCCCTGCCCCTCCTCGCTGGTGTTTGGTGTCCAGCAGCTCGGAGCACCCTGGCTCAGTCCCTCTGTGAATCCCTGCACCCCACTCCTCCTCCTGGGTGCCCAAACTGCGGCACCTCCCTGTCCCACACACAGCTCCCACCTCCCCTCCAGGTGAGCCCCTGATGCAGACACTGAAAGGGAACGCGGTGGAGGAATTCCTGTTACCTCCAGAGGGACACAGAGCCGGGAAGGCAGCGCCGGACGGGTCCCTCTGACCGTGTTCTTCCTGCTGGGAGCRGCCACGTCACGGGAGAAAGGGAGGGAATCATGAGATTGGACATTGCTCCCTGCAGAGGTGAACCTTGACCCAAAGGGCAGCTGTGTGAAAGAGCCCAGAAAAACAGTCTGGGTTTTTCCCGTTACAAGGAAAATTGGATTTTTATGGGCTGGATTAAAGCCCACCCTGGAGAAATGAGGATATACCCGGAGAACAGGGGCTGTCCAAGCAGCCACAGCGAGCTCCCACCTCCCTGGCAGTGGACAGGGAATTTTGCCTCCAAGATTATTTTCTAACATKCTAAATAAATAAATAAAATAAAATAAACAAAATAAATAAAATCATAAATAAAATAAATAATCTTGGCCCTGCAAGGCAAATACCAAAGACTTTGAGCCCTTCAGGTGTTTAGAGAGAAGGTTGTGATGGACAACACATGAGGCCCATGATCATCCCAAAACACACAGACCACATTTAAGTAGTGACAATATATTGGTGAGTAGGTGTAGCAAAATTCATAAGAAAACAGGAYAAAACCAGGCAATTCCCCGAGGGATCGGTTTGGATCTCTTGAACGGCACATTTTCTCCACTCCAGTTAAGATGTGAGTAAATYGGAGCTAAAAGCAATAAAACCATTAATATTTACAGCTCTGGACTTTCATCTGCCAGCTGACTTTCACAGGAGAGCTGTGGAGCAGCGGTGCCTGTTGGGATCCTGTTGGGATTCCTGGATGAGGGAACCCCTCACACAGAGGTGTCTGGATGGGGTTTAGCCCCATGGTTTAGCACGGGCTCGTGTGGGCACAGGAAAGGAGGACAAAGTCCCTGGAGAGAGGATGCTTTTCCATTGGGAATGCTCTGCTGAGGAGGTGCAGGACCAGCACTCACTTTGGTGGAAATCTGAGGCTCAGAGGAGTCATTTCCTAGCAGCAAAATGGTGTCTTGGAGCAGGGAAGTAATGGTTCGGGTCCAAGGATTCCACTTCCCCAAGTGAGATTCAGTCCAGSACCAGCAAGTCGGGGGTACTTTGGGATTGAGTTCAGGGTAGAAACCCAAATATCCAATTTGGGAATGGTTTTGTGTTCAGCTCCTTGGAGGTGTGGCTGCAGAMAGGATTCCTGAGCTGCTCCCAGCATCCAGGGAGGGATTTTCCTACATGTTGGACACAGGGATGGAGCTGAAGTAGCTCAGCAAGTCCTCCACGGTGAAGTCCAGGGCAATCCCTGATCCCGCATAGCAGCATTGGATGTGCTCCTCAAACTCTCAGTACTGCGGGACAAACTCCTCCACACCACCTGGAAATGATGGAAAACCAGAATTCCTGCTCCAGGGCCTTCCACACCACCTGAAAATGATGGAAAACCAGAATTCCTGCTCCAGGGCCTTCCACACCACCTGGAAAACCAAACCTCAGCTCCTTCCCCTGCCCTGCCACCACAAGGGCAGTGCAGTCCTGACTCCCAAACCATCCCAGCATCACACCCATCCCGATCCAGTTACCGGCAGAAGATTTTCCTCTGGGGACAGATATTTGTGGATTTTCCTGTAGAGGGTCTCCAGGACTCTTCTGACTTCCTTGCCAGGATATTTTTTGAGGACTYTGCAGAGCTCCTGCTTGCTGTAGGCCAGCTGGAAGCTGACCTCCTCTTCCTTCACCCCCTGAGCCAGGTGGGCTTTCACCCCCTCAAAGAAATCCTGGGAAGGGAAGGAGACATTCCATGGTGGGCCATCCTGAGGTGGATTCCTGCATCAGGGCTCAAACCTCGTCACTGCCCTCCATTCCCTTCCCAAGTCTAATTCAGCTGAAATGAAGAATTRGGGAATGTTTAGTGAAGTGTTAGAGGTTGTTTATCCCCCAGAAAAACAGAATTTARGGAATTTCATGGTTCTCTCCTCTCACTTCTCAGCAGCAGCATCTTTAAGGGTTGCCAGCCCATGAGACTGCTGGAAAAATCCCTCCTGTTCCTCAGTGCTTCCCCCGGTTTTCTCGCTCTCCCCAGAGGGTTTGGAGGCAGAGGTGGGGATGGGGGATCCCAGAACCTGCTGAGGTGTAAAGCAAAGTCTGAATTTTCTCAGTTCTTGTGACTTCTCTGCCACAGCTGGACAGGACATTCCACATCTGCTGTTAAGCACTAGAATCATCCCTTCCTTCATCCTCCTGTCTGTTCACTCAGCCAGGAATCCAGTTGGATATTCCTGCTGAAATTTTGCTGTGGRGAAATACCCTAAATCCCAAGATTTTGAGTTACTAAATGTTTCCAACAGCCAGAAATTGGCTCCTGTGCTATTTACACCCCTTTGCACCTTCCCTTGGGGTCTGTGCTGAGACTGGGAGAGCTGGAGAAGGTTATGCCAGGATTTTGGGACATTCAGGTGCCCTCACATCCCACTCCCTTTGTTGTGAGCAACAGAATGATCCTTTTCCTTGGAAAAGGGAGCATTTGGAGCCAAAACAGCTCTCAGGCAGCACGAGACACGGAGCTGATTTTCCAGCCTAGCCAACAAATGTTTGACAGCAACGACTGGAAACAAATTGGAAGTAACAGGTCCCATAAATAATTCCAGGCAAGCTCCATCTGTGAGGCATTTCAGGGGGAGGGAAGGAGCAGAAGAGCCACAGGCCCGGGAAGGAAGCAATGTCTGTTTGAGTTAGCAGAGCCAGATGCTCTTAGCTCAGTTAACAAAGCAGCCACACGGGAGGGGTGGGATGCATCAACCCAGGCAGCCGTGAAAAAAGGGCTGGGATCTGCCAGACAGCGGCACGCAACCGGGGCAGGAATGGGAACAAACTGGGGACAAACCGGGAACAAACTGGGAAAAAAAGGGAACAAACTGGGAAGAAAGGGAACAAACTGGGAAGAAAATGGGGACAAACCAGGAACAAACTGGGGACAAACCGGGAACAAACTGGGAACAAACTGGGCACAAACCGGGAACAAACTGCGAACAAACCGGGAACAAACCAGGAACAAACTGGGAACAAACTGGAAGCAATCAGGGAGCAAACTCAGGATCAAACTGGGAACAAACAGGGAGCAAACCAGGAATAAACTGGGAACAAACTGGGAATAAACCAGGGAACAAACTGGGAACAAACCGGGAACAAACTGGGAACAAATCAGGAACAAACTGGGAACAAACTGGGGACAAACCAGGAACAAACCAGGAATAAAAGGGGAAAAATCTGGGAACAAACCGGGAACAAACTGGGACCAGACCAGGAACAAACAGGGCACAAACTGGGACCGAACTGGGAACAAACTGGGAGCAGACTGGGACCAAACTGGGAACCAACCGAGAACCAAACCTGGCAGTGGTCAGGGAAGGGGTGGGAGCACCAGACAGGACATCCCACACCTGCTGTAAAACAAGGGAATCATCCCTCCCTTCCTCCTCCCGTCTGTTCATACAACCCAGGAATCCATCTGGATATTCCTGCTGCAATTTGGCTGCGGGGAAACACTCTAAACCCCAAGGATTTCGAGTTCCTAAATGTATGGAGTGTTTCCAAGAARCAGGAAAGG